TATGTGTGTTCATTTGTTCATCCCTGTACTCATAATTGATCATTAGTATTTTTTGTAATTAACCTTGGTCATTCTTTCTTCCATATAAAATATACAATCATTTTGTAAAATCTAAAAATTATTTAGATTTTTAAAAAAAATCTGAAAATAAAACCTATGAAAATGAATTTTCAGTATCTACTTCTCTCATATTGTTATACTTTTAAAATGTCCTTCAAATATGCTTTGTACTTTTCCTTCACTCCTCCAAGATTACAGTTTGCTACAGAGTGGGACATTTTGTTTTGCTTTGTTTTTGTTTTTTGGAAACAGAGTTTCTCTGTGTAGCTTTGGAACCTGTCCTAGAACTAGCTCTCATAGAACAGGCTCATCTCGAACTCACAGAGATCCACCTGCCTCTACCTCCCAAGTGCTGGGACTAAAGGCATGTGCCATCACTGCCTGGCCAGAGTGGGGCATTTTTATCTATTACATTTCCCCCAACTGATACATGGGAGTACTATAATCGCAAAACTGTTTTTGGAGTGACAGTTCAAATTTTCGTCTCATTGGCCCACAGTTAGTTTCACTTTTTCCTTTTCATTCTTGTAATCTTTTCTCACTTCTCTATGACTTCTGTGTATCTAGTTTTAAGAATGTTTTTACTTCAATTTATTTAACTATAAATACAGATCCTTTTCTTTAAATGGGTAAAAAGGTGTTTTATACCAAAATGCTCTGAAAGGTTGAGCCATCACTGCAATCCAGAGGTAAGTGAAATAAGCACTATTAGTTCATTTTTGTTAGCTTTTCAGACTGGGACTTAATCATCCCAGGGTAGCTTTCAAACTGCTCCAGTCTCTCAAGTACCAGTGTGACAGGCAGTCACTGTAACTGGCTCTAGTAAATACTGTTTAGGACTTTTGATAACAATGTCTATAAATGAAATAATCTACAATTTCTAGGAAAATTTGAGATAAGTCAATATAAGTTTAAGATAAACTGAATACCTCCCCCACCACCAAAGGTTCATATAATACAGGAATTACACATACAATGATAACCTGGAAGTCTACTCTTTTGTGGAGAAGGAATTTACAATTATCAATTCACAGTCTTTATTGTAGGAATGCTCTACAGGCTGTCTTATTTCATAGACTTGTATTTTTGGGGGAGGGAGTGCTTTCTGTTTGAAATTTATTATTATTTTTGGTGAGAAAACATATTGTATTTCAACCAACTCTTAAATTGGTACTGATTTTAACTCATTTAAAAATGAATTACATTGCCAGGCACTGGTGGCACACATCTTTAATCCTAGCACTCGGGAGGCAGAAGCAGGCGAGACTGAGTTCGAGGCCAGCCTGATCTACAGAGTTCCAAGACAGGCTCCAAAACAATATAGAGAAAAACAAAAACAAACAAACAAACAAACAAACAAACAACAAAAAAAGGAATTACATTGTGTGTATACTTGCAAAGGAATGTATACACTGTATGTGTGTTCATTTTGTGTAAATGTCTCATACTTTGAGGAATTCTTTATCTCTTGACAGCTGTTTTGTGTGTGTGTGTGTGTGTGTGTGTGTGAGGGAGGGAGAGAGAGAGAGAGAGAGAGAGAGAGAGAGAGGTGCTAAACTCTCCACTGTGATGTTAAAACCTTTCTATTTCCTTTTCTTTTTAACTTATGAAATGGGGTCTCATGAAACCTGCGCTGAGTTCAAGCTGTGAAGCAGAGTACCTTGATCTTCTAATTCTCCTGCCTCCCATTTCCCAGGCATTGAGATTAAAAGGGTAGACCTTCATGCATGGTATTATGATGTACTGGGGATCAAATTTAGAGCTTTGTTCTTCCTAGGCAAACCTCTATCAACTGACCCAATCCTCATTCCCCATTCTTTTAAAAAACTCCATTAGATGTGTTCCCCCCTCCCAGAGGCAATATATGCCATTGTTCTAATCCTAAATTATGATCTTCTGATAAAGCAAAAGTACATCACTTAGTTTTCATAAGGGAAACAAATGGACCGTGTATCTCTGGCTGGCCTGGAACACTATGTAAATCAGGCGGTCTTTTAATTTAGAGACTGGCCTGCCTATGGGTCTGCCTATGAGCTTGGGTGTCCATGCCCAGTTTACTGCTGGCATTTTAAGATTTACTCTCTTTCATCCTTTTCTTGGATTGAGTTTACTACATTTCCTTCCCTCCTTCCTCAGTTGATTTGAGATCACTAAAAATTTGGCCTCCTACTCTTTAGAGTCATTTCAGCAAAGTATATGCTTTTAATTCCAGCACTTTGGAGGCATAAATCTAGATCTCACAGAAATTTAATATTTACCACTACACCTTAAAATCCTTAAGCTTTTCTTAATAGGTGGAAAACTATTATTTATTCTAAACTTGCATTTCCCTTCCTTACCCATGTAATTTAATCTCAGTGTAAGGAAGTATGACTCCAGGTTTTACCCTGACACCCTATCGAGAATCTGCTTCTTCACACACACTATGATCATGCAAGCATAGCTACACGTGTCCACATTGCTGGCACTTAGGAGGTGGAAGCAGGAGGATCAGGAAGAGTTCAATATCCTTCTTGGCTACATAGTATGTTCAAAGTCATTTTGAACTACATGAGATTGCCTCAAAAAGAAAGCAAAAGGTTATATTCATTCATATTTTTACTATCTAAAACAATCTATTTCCAATAGCTTCAATAATTCTCCAAGTGGTAAAAAAGCAAATATATTAAGTTTGACAAAAATACTAAAGACATCAGTTTTACTACTATTTTAAAGTAAAGACATGTTTAAAAACTCATTCTCTATATGCATAAGGGAAAAGAAATGGAAGGGGGCTAGAAAGATGGCTCAGGGGCTAAGCATGCCTATTGCTCTTGCAGATCCCCCAATGTTGGTTCCCAGCACCTACATGGTGGTTCACAACCTTCTGAAACTTGTTCTAGGAATAGAATGTCTTTTCTAACTCCTATGGACTCCTGAAAGCAAATAGTGTACACACATATACCCCAACACAAACACATGAAATTAAGTTTTCTTGTGTTTTTTTTTATTTTTTATTTTTGAGACAGGGTTTCTGTGTAGCTTTGGAGCCTATCCTGGCACTTGCTTTGTAGACCAGGTGGGCTCTAACTCACAGAGATCAGCCTACCTCTGCCTCCCAAGTGCTGGGATTAAGGGTGTGTGCCACCAACGCCGGCTTAAGTGTTCTTTACCATGAAATGTAATGTTAGTATATGAGAAGTACACATGGGCTTTTAACTTCTGTCCTTGAAATCATACAAATTTTGAGTTTGAGACATCTTTAGACTCATAATGAGTTCAGCATGGTGGAAACATAGAACCCGATTAGCCAAAATCAGCCACAGTTTTATATTACATTTGGATATTCTTAGATGAGGCAAATACCCTTACCATTTGCTTGTTGCCTAAAAAGGCAGCTTTTCCTTTATGTTATATTCATATTCTTAGTTTTCCTTTCATGTGCCTCCCCCAAAGAGTTTTTAAATAGGGAACAAAATTTTAAAATAGGGGACAAAAAAAAAAAAAAGACAAAGTCATTAAACAAACACTGCCATCTCCTTTACTTGACAAAACATCTGAATTCTGAACATTTCCATGTGCAAGTGTAACTGTCTGAAAATGAACACCATATTTTACTTGCAATAAAAATAAATTTCATCATACTCCTTTAATAAGGACAGTAAGAAATGTTTGATAAAGTTCAAAAGGACACACAGCCTCTTGATAGTGAAGCGGCCGAATTCTGCAAGAGTATATGGGGACTTGAAATGTTGTTGGGCTCATTTTTTGAAAACAAATCTTACCATTGGTTTCTTTTGTAAAATGTGAGAAAGATTAAATAGAAAAATTGTTGTGACCCCCTTTCCTTCCTTCCTACCTTTCTTGTTTTTCGAGATAGGGATTCTCTGTGTAGCCTTGGCTGTTCTGGAACACTCTCTGTAGACCAGGCTGGCCTTGAACTAAGAGATCCACCCACCTGCCTCCCAGTGCTTTGATTAAAGGTGTGTGCCACCACCACCTAGCACATGCATCTTCTTAGGTAAATTTATTCTTCAGAGTTTTGGGAATTGAGGATCTGAGTTTGGATTTTCTTAAAACTCTCATGTCTGTCTCTTGGAAAGTTATTACCCCAAAAGAATTCATAATCTTGTTTGAAGACAATGCTATATTGCCTATACTTGTTTAAAACCCCAGTTTCCAGAATGTAAAGATAACTATACATTTTTCTAAAATGTTACTTTTTTCTTATTTTTTCAAAACAGGGTTCTCACTATGTAGCTCTGGCTGTCCTGGCCTTCACTAAACAGACCAACCATGCTGGCCTCAAATTTAGAGATCCACCAGACTCGGCCTCCAGAAGGGCTGGCACTGAAGGTGTGGGCTACTATGTCCAGCTCAAGAATCCTTCTTAAAAATAGCCAAGTGTGGTGGTGCACTCCTCTAATCCCAGCACTCAGAAGGCAAGCCAATCTCTTTGAGTTCAAGGCTGGCCTGATCTACACAATTTTTAGACTCAGGCAATCTAGAGTTACATAGCCACCTCTACCTCAATGCAAAAACAAAGTAAAACCCCATCAAAAACCCAATTCTGAATACATGACTAACAGTGTATGTACTTTGGCTGAGGACAAAGTTTTCTCCTTAAAAAGCCAGAAAAGTTTGATAGACCTCTAGAAGTTGACGTTGGTAACGGAGTTTAAATTTCTAAAAAAAAAAAAAATTTCATTTAAAGTCCAGCAGAAACACAAAATGTGAATTAAGTTGTATTTGAATGCCTTCCAAATATGGTACAAACACAACACACAAAATCTTTCCTAACTTCATTATTTTTGTAAAGTCTTGCTAATTGCCCAGGCTAGCCTCCAACTGACTATCAAGTCAGCCCAGCCTCTGGAGCAGCTGGGATTACAATAATGTAAACTGTGTCTGGCTCTATTTTTCATCTTTGCCAACAACATAGTTTCTAAGAGACTGTTTAGTAATTGTTTTCAACTGTTATTTTTTATTTATGAAGTTCAATAAGCATTTTTACAAAATGCTTTCATTTTCATGAAATATGACACATGAAAAAAACCCATGATGTTGAAAATGGATGTTTTCTTTCAAATAACCATATAACATTATTGTATTAACCCTTATACACATGGGACTAAGCACAGCAATAAAATAGTTATAACCAAAATATATATTAAACATTTATGTAGTACCTATTATTTTGCAGGCACTGTTCTAAAAACTCAGAATACAGGGATAAGTGAACATAAGTACTATGAATTTCCTCATTTTACATGATAAAACTGGAGCATCTAGCCAAAAACTCAGAAAAATTTCAAAGTTCTGGTTCCAATGGATGTTTTATTTACATAAAATCTTTCTGTATTTTATTTATTTTTGCCTTTTAAAGACCTTATCAGCTAATATGTATGGTTCAACTAGCAGGAATGGCCATTTCATTTTTCTTTTGGAGAATTTTGATAAATTTTTCAACAGAATGCACTGTTCAAGACTTTATTTTAAATAACTGGGGAATATTCTTTCATACTTTATCCCCCTTCCCTTCTACTCCAGGAAGGCAAAATGAACTAAAGTTCACAGAACTCTCCCTCAGATTAGAAATGTGTCCAAGAGCCAGGCGTTGGTAGCGCATGCCTTTAATCCCAGCACTCGGGAGGCAGAGGCAGGGGGACTCTCTGTGAGTTCGAGGCCAGCCTGGTCTCCAGAGTGAGTGCCAGGATAGGCTCCAAAGCTACACAGAGAAACACTGTCTCAAAAAACAACAACAAAAAGTGTCCATGAGTCAAGGTAATTAACCCTTACTCAAGTCCAGGAAGTGACTTGAGATTGTTGCTAGTCATTTGTTATAGTATGGATATGAAGGGTCTCCCCACTTGTCTAATCACTGAGTTACTATCAGTGGGTTAATACCTTAATGGTTCACATGATGGTACTACAGGGAGGTAGAAGGTAAAAGTGTCCTGGAAAGGCTTCTCTACTCTCTGCTGCTTGACTGCCAAGGATGAGCAGCATCTGCCATACCCACAGCCATATTCTGGCTCACTTCCAGACCCAACTAATGGATCTAGCTGACCTTCCACTGAAACTGTAGACACTATGAACCACAATTCCTTCCATGTTTTTGTCTGGCATTTTATCACAATGACAAGAAATCAACTCACCATCTACTTTTACTTCAAGAGAAAATAAATCTACAATGCTCAAAATATAGAGAAATTTGGGTAGGCCATTGACCTGCACATACATGATTTATTCTTGCCTTTCCTAGTTAAAAGTGTAGAAATTATGTTGAGTGATTTTAAGCTTCAATATTTTAACAAAAATACTAGATAAAATATGAATGTAGAATGATTTTCATTAATAAATATAGAACTGTCAAGAGTAGCTTATCTATTTTACTAAAAAAATAGTTTACAAAACATTTACCCTCAAATTCTAAGTGATTATGAAGCATTATATTAGCACTTCTACAAAACCACAATTTAACTAGGAAGACAAAAATGTTTTATTTTAAACCACTGAAAAAAACCAAATATCTGTTATTTTAGAAACTGTGGTTTTCTGAATGTGGTACACACTCCCAGATACCTTAATACTGCAAATGATCCTATCATCTTCTCTAACATCAACAACACTTGACAAAGTTAGAGATATCCCGAGCGTCTGCTAATCACTTCCAAAGTCATCATCTTTGGGTTCAACTCATTTACACAAGTACAAGTTCTGTCCAAGGTGTTCCTGACACATGAAGTTTCCAGTTGAATTTCAGAAAAGTTAAGAAAAGTATCTTCCTTTTTTGCCTGTGAATGTTTGCGTATTGCTGTACTGTTGGCTTATATCCACTACAGACACTGGTTCTAGGCCAGCCCAAGGGTCTTCAAGCATTGAAGGCTTAAAATAACTTTCCAACTCATTAGACATTCTTTTTTCTCTACCACGCCCTGATCCAAATGGTGTAGATGTCCTTGGAGAACCCTTTAGGAAAAAAATCATCAGTTAAAAAAAAAACATCTAATAGAGATAATTGGTACTTTTGACTCAAATTGAAGATTAGTGGGGATCACAAGTTGAAAATTGAAGCCCAATATATTAAGTTGCAAATTTCTTGTTTACTTTAAGCCAGTTGGCCACGGTGGCCCACACCTTTAACCCCAGCATTTGGGAGATAGGCAGGCAAGATCTATGTGAGTTCGAGGCCAGCCTGGCCTACAGAGCCAGTTCCAGGACAGCCAAGGCTGTTACATAGAGAAAAAACCCTGTCTCAAAGAACAAAACAAAAATAACAATTACTAAAAGCTAGTGTATATTTCCTTTAAAAAAAAAATGTCTTGAGTTTCTAATGTAATAATCCTACAGCACAAGCAGTGTTCAAATTAATTGTATTCAATTTTTCTTGAAAACTTCCTTTTTAACCTGATAGGTCTCAAATTTCTACAACTTTTACAATGCATGAAAATTTCCTACACTTTTTAAAAAAATCCATCTTTAAGAAATTCTGTTGGGTGAGAATACTCAAATTTGTAAAACACGGTAGATTTAAGTTGTTAGCCAAAGAGCTACTTCCTCCCTTGTGTTTTCACTCATTTCGAGGAAGAGAAATTTCCACAATCCTCGATTCTCCAATTTGAAGTAGAAGTCAATTTAGCTCTGGAAAAAAATGTAACGATAAAAAAAAAAAAAAAGAAAGCAAAACCAAGGGATGGACATCTGTAGGAAATGGCAAACAACAGTAGGGAATCATTCATGTCCTCCCCCTAGGAGTCCAGGATTATTTACTGAAAATAACTTGACAAAAAAAAAAAAAAAAAAAAAAAAAAAAAAAAAAAAACCTCTGGGGGTGTGAGAGAAGAAATGGAGGATTAAAAAAAAATTGTATAGAAATACGGTATACTCGTTAAGAGCACAATTTCTGTGGAACAGAACTATAGCTCTGCCACTTATGGTAATCTTAAAATAATTTCTTTACGCTTCAGTTTACTCATCTGCAAAATTGGGCCAACGTTGTATGTCGCCTCACAGAGGATTAAACAATCCACGTAAAGGGAATTTTAGTATCACAAATGACATTACAGGAAGAGCTCGGCAAACGCTAGCTATTGTCTTTACCTGGGGGTAGGTCTGCTGCTGCCCTGGGGAGTAGCCGAACTGATGCTGGGACCCCGCGGGGGACCTGGAGTAGGAGCCTGGGTAGAGCCCCGGGGACGGAGACCCGAAGCGGGCCCCCGAGAAGCTGCCGCCGTGCCGCGGAGAGTGGCTGCTCCCGTACGGCCTAGCCCGGGGCCCGCACGGCGGAGTGTGGTGCGGACTCCCGTACCCGTCCCGCGGGGAGGGCGGCCGCGGCCCCCCGCCCAGGGCACCCCGGAAGCTGCTTCCGCCACCCCAGCCTCCTATCCCCGGGCCGGGGTACGGAGGAGTTGGGGGTCGAAAATTCGGTCGGTGCATATCAGGAACTGAAGATCTCCCTCGCCGATCCTCTCACCGGAACTCCAGCGATCGACCGCCAGAAATGAACTGGTATGGCTCTATTTATGTGGCCTTCCGGCCGCTAGCAAACTACGAAACCTTAGTTCCGGCAGCACAAAGGTTCCGGCCTCACAAAGCTTCCGCAGGAAGGCGGCTCAAGTCGGAGGATGGTGGTGTGCCTGAAGGGAGGAAAGACTTACGTCAGGGGGAAACCAAACCCTCGGCCCCAGCAAGAACACGGCCACCGGCGGCCTCAAGTACCCGAAGGCGGAAGCGGAAGACAGAACCCTTCGTCCCGCTTTATAGGCTGTGCGAGCAGCGGGGTGTGGGGACTGCGGTTGGGTGGGAGAGGGGCGTGTCGGGCGGGTCCGAGGGGGTGGACCACTGGGCTCTGAGGCTTCAGGAAGGCAGGGCGCGAAGCCGCTGCGGGGCAAGGGCGGGACTTGTGGGCTCTGGACAAAAGAGCTAGTCTCCTGGGACTGGAGTGGGGGCCAGAGCCGAGGCGCATGGGTGGATGGAGAGGGATGA